TGTTAAGGGTCTACAGAAAGTCATTCATTTCATATTCCATATTCCAATTAAAAATTGTATTTAAATAAAGGTTACAGGGTACTCCCTTCCTCATTCCTCCCTGCCCTTCCTCATACTTGTCCCTGGAACATTCTCCGGGGCCTCAGCTGCCACTGTCTCCACCAGCCATCCTCATAATGACTTGTGACAAAAGAACAGACCCTTGCTGGGCCATTCTCATTCAGAGGGACAAAAATGACTTCTCTGACCAAGAACTTTTCCAGATAAATGGAGACTAACGAAACACAACCACTAAATGCAACATATGATCCTACACTGGGCTCCAGACCAGATAAAGGACATTCCTGAAACAACCGGCAAACTTGGGACAAGGCCTGAAGATTAATACTCTTTAATAATAATAATAATGGTGTGTCCATGCTCATTTCCTGATGCTGATCATTATGCTGTGATTATGCAAGATGATGTCCTTGTTTTTAGGAAATCACACTAAGTCTCTAGAGATAAGGCGGCATTGTGCCTGCAACTTACTCTCAAATGTTTCAGGAAAAAAGTAAACGTGTGTGTTGGCCCACATGGGTGTGAAGTGTGTGTGTTTGCACACACATGGAGGGAGAAAGGATGAATAATAAAGTAGTTAATTGTTCACATTTGGCCAATCTTGAACAGCATGGAACTCTTTGTACCATTTTCCCCACATTTTTGCAAGTCTTATATTATTTCAAAATAAGAGTTTAAAAATTCGGCTAGGCGCAGTGGCTCATGCCTGTAATTCCAGCACTTTGGGAAGCTGAGGTGGGCGGATCACCTAAGGTCAGGAGTTTGAGACCAGCCTGTCCAACATGGTGAAACCCTGTCTCTACTGAAAATACAGAAATTAGCCAGTGGTGGTGGCGGGTGCCTGTAATCCCAGCTACTTGGGAGGCTGAGGCAGGAGAATCGCTTGAACCCAGTGGGACGGAGGTTGCGTTGAGCTGAGATCATACCATTGTGCTCCAGCCTGGGAGACAGAGTGAGCCTCTACCTTTAAAAAAATAAAAATAAATAAAAAATAAATCTCCGCACTTGGAGTACTTCTGGGCCTCTTGTGTGCAGTCTGCTCCAAATTCAAGTTCTACCGTTGGGTTTCCAAAGAGGCTGAGCTCTCTGCTTCTTTCAAGCCAGATTCTCCAAATTCCCCTCACCTGGCTAAACAGACAATATGTCTTCCTGTCCTGGTGAGGTCTCCCGGTGACCTGACAGGTCATATCTATATCTACTCCCTATTTTTCATGTAGAAGCTTGCTTTCCTCTTTGATATCTCACTGGGTTCCACTTTTTCTCTCTACTACACGAGCCAAAGGCAGGGTTTATCCATTGCAACGTGTATCAGTCAGGATCTGTGCAGTAGGTCATGCCGCACTAACAAACTGCCCGAAGTTCAGCTTAGTTAACTTTGTTGATAACTTGTGAGTTGATTTCTCACTCATGCCACATATCCAGCATGGCAAGTGAGGGCATGTCTGTGTTCACTGTAGTCACTTAGGAGCCCTGGGCGATGGAGGCCCCATCTTGTCTCATGCTTCCAAAATCACCACAGCAGATGAAAATGAGTGTGGTGCATTACTCACTGACTCTGAAAAGTTTTTCCTTTCCTTTTTCCTGTCCTCTCCTTCTCCTTCCTTCCCCTCTCTTTCTCTCTCTTTCTCTCTCTTTCTCTCTCTCTCTCTCTCTCTCTCTCTCTCTCTCTCTCTCTCTCTCTCTGTCTCATACAGGGTCTCATTCTGTTGCCTATGCTAGAGTGCAGTAGTTCCGTCTCACTGCAACCTCTGCCCCCCGGGTTCAAGTGATTCTCCTGCATCAGCCTCCAGAGTAACTGGGATCACAGGCATGCACCACCAAACCCGGCTAATTTTTGTATTTTTAGTAGAGACAGTGTTTCACCATGTTGGACAGGCTGGTCTCGAACTCCTGGCCGCAGGTGATCCGTCTCCCTCAGCCTCCCAAAGTGATGGGATTACAGGTGTGAGCCACTGTGCTCAGTCATCGCATTTATTTTCAAAAGAGACGAGTGATTTCCACTCACATTTCATTCACCCTAAAGTTCAGTCCTACATTGTGTTCGTGAGAAGGAGAGATAGAAATGCATTTGTCACAGCCCTGATGATTGTCGCAGTACTAACGCTCAGCAGTTAACCTGATTTTGATAGTGAAACTTAGCAGTGCAGCAAAAGAGGCATGCCTATAAGAAGCAAGGATGCTGAGGGCCACCAGAGCCCAAGTTAGAATTACAGATTGGCCAAGTGTCGCCTGAGCGTCTCCTCCTCTGAGAGGCTGCCCTGACCTGCTCTGTGCTCCCACCATCACCTGCACTTCTGTCTTTCCACCCTAGCATGCTTTCACTCTTTATTTTCTCATGATTTTCTGCCTTGTTAGGTAGATGAATTTTACATGCACCACAGATGTTTACTGCACGCACCTATCAATAGAAGGCACCTATTATTTGCAGTAGAAGGCACTGCACTAGGTTCTGGGATATAAGAACAAATAAGACATTGGTTCTGCCCTCGTGGCATTTCCTGGCCTGCCATGAAGACAGAGAGGAAAACAGACATTTTACGTTGAGAGGGTAGAGCTCAGCACAGCTGACCTATTTGGGAAGCAAGAGGGTGGCGAGAGGAGGGGAGGACGTGGGAGACAGCTGTTCTGCACCACACTGGATAATCACCGTCCAGGTTCTCCGTCTGTCATTCTCGCCAGTCAGGAAGAGGGCCCATGATGTGCAGCATGCCAGGGTGAGATTAGAAGTCAGGGTTTAGAGGCTACTGATGTATCCTGTTTTTGCAAACAAGAAATACTTATTAGACATCTGCTACAATAGTAAAGGCTAATTCTACTCACATTTAAGTAACACTTTATAATTCAGGTGCCCCTGGAAATCATGGCTCATTTTACAAATGAGGACACTAAGGTAGGTAACTTGTTGGGGTCCTTAAAAGTCCCAACTACACCATTTAGAACTCAGGGTCCTGATTCCCAGTGCAGCACACTTTCCAGTAATCCATCCTGCCTGGACCTTGTTTGAGACCCTACCTGCCTGAAGGTCCTACAGTCTCCAGAAGAGTTTACATTCACTTTCATGATAGGTGTGGGGAAGAGTCACATCGATTTAATCACAGTCCTTTGTTAGGATGAGGCAAGTGGATGTGTAAGATCCTCCTTTTCTCTGGCTTGCTATTGGATAATTATAAGGATGAACGACGCACGATAAAAGTGACTTTTCAGGGGGTACCATCTACACTTGACATCCCAGCTACCAAGCAGATGCTTGCTGACTCACAGCTGCCGGTGTAGCCAGCCCTGCATGGTGATGTAATTGCTGTGGGATACAGGAAGATGGGAGGGGGAAGAAGAGCCTGGGGTCCTGCTTCTCTTGCCAGGATTCATTTGTCTGCTACAACTTGCAGCCAAGGAAAGGATGCTGAGTCTCTGGGGCCAACACGTGGAAATGCTGTGGCTGCAGGCCAACCTTATCTTTTCCATTTTCTGAGGTTTGGAAAGATTTCTGGCTCATGCTAGCCTCCCATTGATTAAATGAGATAATGTATGTAGAGGCCTTGGCACATAGTACATGGCCAATAAATGGTAATCTGCGGTAATAGTAATAATTACAGTAATAATGGCCTTAATTCCCATAGTAATAGAGAAATAATTATTTAATAATCATAGTAATAATAAATATGATAATATAATAATCAGTGGTGTGGGGAGAGTAGTGCATTGGGAGGGAGGCTCCCAGTGGGAAAGAGCTGTATCAGTGATGCAAGAAAATAAAAAGCAAACTGTGGGAATGCGTTGTACTCTCCCCACAGTTTTGCTGGCAAGCTAAAACTGCTCTAAAAAGTAAAGTCAATTATTATATATACATATATTTTATTTTATTTTATTTTTTGAGACGAGTTTCACTCTGTCGCCCAGACTGGAGTGCGGTAGAGTGATCTCCGCTCACTGCAAGCTCCGCCTCCCGTGTTCATGCCTTTCTCCTGCTTCAGCCTCCTGAGTAGCTGGGACTACAGGCACCCGCCGCCACGCCCGGCTAATTTTTTGTATTTTTAGTAGAGACGGGCCAGGATGGTCTCAATCTCCTGACCTCGTGATCCACCCATCTTAGCCTCCCAAAGTGTAATTTTTTTTTTTTTTTTTTTTTTTGAGACGGAGTCTCGCTCTGTCGCCAGGCTGGAGTGCAGTGGCGCCATCTCGGTTCACTGCAACCTCCACCTCCCGGGTTCAAGCGATTCTCCTGCCTCAGCCTCCTGAGTAGCTGGGATTACAGGTGCCTGCCACCACACCCAGCTAATTTTTGTATTTTCAGTAGAGACGGGGTTTCACCATGTTGGCCACGCTGGTCTTGAACTTTTGACCTTGTGATCTGCCCACCTCAGCCTTCCAAAGTGCTGGGATTACAGGCGTGAGCCACCGCACCTGGCCAGTTTTTTTTTTTTTTTTTTTTAATGAAAGAGAGAACAAAATCCCAGACTGATGATTAGTTGGTATTATTGTGTTCCAGTTCTCTAAAGACAATGCACCTCCTTTTTGCGTGTACCAGGTGGACCAGCTTCCACCATTTTTAAATGGCCTCATTGGCTGTGCAGATACTCAAATGAGTCACATGTTAATGAAGAAGTAAAGTTTGCTGGTAGGATGATAGCTCCAGTGTCTCTTTATTTACCACTGGGTGTTGAATGCTGATGAAACTGACCCAGGACATGGCTGGGCACAGAAGCTGTAGGTCTTGGGCTCTCTGTGGTCTCTCCACAGAGCTAAGCAGCCACATCATCTCCACTCAGCATGGCTGCAGTGGGTATCTTGGCTGCGAGCAGCCCCTGGGAGGGTGCCCACCACGCCTCAGGCCTAGTGAGAGCTCTCCAAATCCACAGACCAGGGCAAGTCTTGTCCAGACATTGCCAATGGGTTGGCTTCCTTTCCTTTGCCTGATGCAAGGTTCTCTTTTCTTTGAGTAGGAAAATGCCCAGATAATCAGAGAAGTGGAAGTGGACAAGGTCTCCATGCTCTCCAGGGAACAGGTGGAGGCCATCAAGCAGCTCTGGCAAGATCCAGGCATCCAGGAGTGTTATGACAGGAGGAGGGAGTACCAGCTGTCGGACTCTGCCAAATAGTGAGTACAGAGCCCAGCCTGGCTGCCCGCGGTGCTTTCAGGCAAGCTCGGCCACACTTCAAAGAAGCTTCTCGCTGAACGCTGCTGAAATGCGGTGCACAGCGGCAGCGCTACCTGCCTCCGCTTTTCCGTATCCCACCTGACCTCTTGGTGCCATCCCTCACCACCTCCTAAAGCCGTCAGTCACTCTGTGGATCGCAGACCTCTCTTCCTGCCAACACCCACCTGCTCTCGCTGTGTTCTAAGCCTGTCGTTTCCAGTGAGAGACTCAATCAAATCTGAGGTCCCTTAAGTGGGACTGATCTCCTTTGGAGTGCTTAAATTACCTGATATAAACAAGAAATACCCTTGCTTTTGGCTTCGACTTTCCTCCTCTCTATATTCCTCTGCCTTTCGGGTTTCCCCATCAGAAGACAGCCGGTCCAACTGCCCTAAAATCCTAAGTCAAGTTTAGAGCAGCGGGGCCATTGACCCATCAGCCGCTGATCTGGTGCTGCCCTCTAGTGGCACAGGCAGGCTGTGCTCCCAGCACACACAGGAAGCTCAATCCTTTGTTTATTGGCCGCCTGGGAAGGCCTACACACTGTATTTTGGACCCATACAGCTCAACTTTTAATTCATTAATCCTTGAAGGTAAGAAGATTTCTATTTAGATGTCCCGGCATGCAAACTGTCCCATAGAGATGACAGATTTTCACTTTCTTAGGCATTTCCTGTTCACATCTGTAATCCCAGGGACTTGGAAGGCAGAGGTGGGAGGATCGCTTGAAACCAGGAATTCGAGACTAGCCTGGGCAGCAGAGCAGACCCCGTCTCTGCAAAAAATACAAAAAGTAGCTGGGCGTGGTGGCCTGTGCCTGTAATCCCAGCTACTCGGGAGGCTGAGGCGGGAGGATGTCTTGAGCCTAGGAGGTTGAGGTTACAGTGAGCCTTGATTGCACCACTGCAATATAGCCTGAGTGACAGAGTGAGACTCTGTCTCATAAAAAGGAAAATTTAAATAAATAAATAAATAATATCCCAGGGCAGTGCCTCCTCAGTCTGGCCACTGGGCAACAGTTTGATATGGGTCCTTCTTAAAGTGGCAATCACTCCTGCTTCTGCAGCTCAGCTTTCTCACGTGTCCCATATCATCTTCCATCCCCTGAGGCTCAGGAATCCCTTCCCCGGATTTGCCTCCTTCCCTTTGGGTACCACTGTCACCCTCGGAGCAGGCATTGAGCTGGACAAGGCATTGGGCAGGAGAGGAAGCCAGAAGTGTCACGTCCTGTGGTTTCAATGGCCTGTCTTTGGTGTTTATCCCGGGCTGAGAGTTTAATGTCATTAATCCAGGTTGGCACAACTAATCTAAGTACAGGAATGTTTAGGTGCAAAAAAGCCTCAAGGCAGGAAAATAAACCCCAATAAGGTGTTAGATCAGCATAGAGAGGTGGAAGAAGGAAAGAAAGGGCCACGGAGGAGGGTTTGCCTTTGACACCTCAAGGAGCCAGGGATGGGCACGACGTTCCTGAGCCATAGCTGAGGTGGCCTGAGTTAGCTGCCTCTGTGAAGTCCTGGGGATTGGCTAGGGCTCTTGATATAGATCCATTTGGGGAAGACCCACCAGACCTGCTACAGAATTCAATGTAACCCTGAAAACCATGGGAGCAAGGCCACTGACATGGACGAGGGGCATGGCTAGGGTGGTGGTCAGAGCTGTCACAGAGAAAACAGCGTCTCCTTAACCCAGTTGCCCAACCTTCCAAACCGGCAGGACTCAAGGTACTTGCTCATTTTCTCCATCTGAGCCAGCGGTTTTCAATCCCTTGGCTAAAAAGGTCTGCTTGCGATGCGCCAGGCACTGTGGTAAGGGCTGCAGGTATTAAACAACCAATGCTCTCTGCTCTCAGAGAATGTACAGTCTGGTGGAGCAAGTCAGGTATAAATCAAATAATTACACATCAAAGTACAGCAAAAACAGTGATAAGCCCTGGGACTGTATCTGGGCAGGGAAGTGGATTGTGGAAGGCTGCCCCGGTGCTTTGCTTCTGGAGCTGAAGGCACGTGGTGAACAGGGTTTGCCTGTGACCTCTTGCTTAGCCTCCATGTGAACCTGCTCAGCCCCTGATCCTGTGCTGGGACAGCGCAGGGCTGGTCTCAACTTGCAGGGGGCTCTAGCTCTGCAGCTCCAAGTCTTTTGTTAGCTAAGGCCTGAGTTACAGTTATTTTACCTAAAAATGTCTTTTAGAAAGGCCTTAAAAGTTGTTGTGTTTTTTTTTAAAGGATTCTCTTATTTTACTACAGAAAAAAAAAAAAATATGTGTTTTAAGCTCAGGGCTTCAATATATGGCCAAAAATAAGTGAAGGCAAGTTTTGGGTTATTTTAGGAGATGTATAGTTTCCCAGTGTCTTCAACAAGAAAACTTTTTCTTGTTGCTGTTGTTTTGAATTTCTCCTCGGCCTGTTTTACGTCTGTGTATTTTCTTAGAAACTCTATTTAGTTCATTGAGCAAAGCTTTGGAGAACAGCATCTCCATTATATAATGTTCTTGGACAAGGGTGAGTGGGAGGGAGAAGGGCCTCTGGAGGGAGGATGACAGATGGGGCGTTGGAGAGAGCCATTTCCAACATCCTGGTCCCTCCAGCCCCACTGTCTCCCAGGAGCCAGAGATGGAGCTTAGAATCCAGGAGCCAGAGATGGAGTGCTCTGCAGATGTCCCAGAAGGCTCATGAAAGTCCTTCTGACCCATATTGTCTTCAAAACAGTCGTAGGAAGGATGGAGAAGCCTGGCCTGGGGCTGGCTCTTAGGAAAGTCATTGATGGAATTCACGTGTCTGTGTGGGGCTCACTGTGAGTGGGGGGTGACTTCCTTTGAATAGGATGGACATTTCTCCCTTCTCTAAGAGGAGACTCAGTTCCTCGTTCTCTGATATACAGTTACCTGACTGACATCGACCGCATCGCTACACCATCATTTGTGCCGACACAACAAGACGTGCTTCGCGTCCGAGTGCCCACCACCGGCATCATCGAGTATCCATTTGACTTGGAAAACATCATCTTTCGGTAAGTCTGTCCCCCTGATGTACCATGAAGAATCCGTCCAGGCGTGGAAGTCCCCAGATGGATTCTTAAACGTGTTATTGCTAAGCAGGGATTATATCTCTTAGGGCAGAGTGACCCTCTCTGCTCGGGGTATTTAGAACTGTGGTAGATCTCAACCCTAGAATGGAGAGGAAGTCACCTTCCTATTACCCTTGGAGAAGAAGGGTTTCCTTACTGGAACCTGGAATGGTTCTTATGTGTAACACACACACACACACACACAAATGTATATACTTCTGTATCCCACAAATTGAATATAGTGATTATCGATGTCTTTTCCTTAAAGGTGAATAATATTTCCTTTCTCCTCTATTTTCTCCTCCAAGATTTATCCTTAGAAAATTAAGAATTTATACAAAAATGTGTATTAAAACTATAAAGAATAATATATACAAACTAACAGCTGTGTAAAAATGTATGCATTTCTACTTACAAATATAGGGAATACTTTTAGGATGACTTCAGTGAATCTTCACTGCATTTAGTTATGGTAAAAAGTGAATAATATAGGGCATATACCTAGCACTGCACATTTCAAAGCACTTTTATATCCACTATTTCCCTTGTTCTTCCTAAAAATTATCGCACATGATTTTCTAGTTGAGACAACACACCAGTCCTCCCACATCCGGGTCCTGTCTGATCCCCAGTTATAGCTCAGTGCTTCTTTATCCAGAATTGCTGTGTTTGGGGAGCCCTCGGGTCCAGCCCCTCAAAAATGTCCCCCATCTATATTAGCATATCCCTGATTTTAATAGTAGCCCCCTGTGCGCCCGTGAATTTCTCTAGGCCTTTTCACAATTAACTGCTTTTTGCCATGTCCAAAACCTCTTAGAGAGAGGCTCCCAAGGATTTTGTTTGTTTTGTTTTAGAAAAGACTTTTATTTCTTCTAAGTTTATCCTTCTTGGACTGTGAAGAATGGGTTTTGCATTACTTTCTAGAGTCTGCTGAATGGGTTTAACATCCTCCACCAGTGAAATCTATTACTTTACAACTCAGAGCACCTCTCCCAGTGGGATATTTCTGGCTGAAAAATTCTGATCTTTGAAATTGAGGCCTTTATAGAATGGCTTCTTCAAGCTCAGCCTTTTGACAGTTGCAATGTCCTATTTCCAGATGGTTCCCTGCTGTGATAGCCAGCCACGAACATGTCATTGTGGGAGTGGTCGCACCTCCAGGACATGGTTCAAGGACAGGATTGAATTTCTCGTTTTCCTTCCTGCGCTTTTCTGGACAACAGTTCTGGGTGGTTGGCCTGTGGGCCACCTAAGCACATCGACCCAGGGTCTTCAGGGACTGGTGTGTGTGTAGTGGGGCAGTGAGGTAGGGGTGGGTGAGGGTGACTTGGCAGCTGTATCTGGTCCATTATGTGTTTTCTTTGGCTCACTTGGTGTTATTAAGAATCGTTTGAGCTAACACATTAGATACCTTGTTTCTCCTGAAAAGGCAGAGGCTGTGGTCATGGCGAGCCTGCGTTTTGTTCTGCAGAGCTTGGCTGCAGGTACGCGGCAGGTTTCCCTGCAGACAGGGCCCCCGGCTGTTGTGCCGTGTATGTTTTTATACTTTGGGGAACCCACTTGCCTCATTCCCATAAACTGACTGATTCCTGGAGCATTTGAGTTCGTGATCCCTGGGCTGCGAGTTGCTGAAATTTTTCCCAGAGACACAGATAGAGGCTTTGGATTTCTGTGCTGGACAGAGGACACTTGTAGGTTTTTATAGGGAACAAGAGGTGGCATCCAGAGAATGCAGAAAGGATTTACGGTAAAATAGAGGAGCCACGAAAACAGAATAGGCTCAGGTCCTGAGTCCAGCGTGGGGGACCCGGAAGACAGCTGGCTACTCTGTCCCTCTTGTGTCTGGTATCCAGGGACTCTGCAGTGGTCGCCACAGAACCCAAGTGGATGTTTGCGTTTTCTGCCTGGACACTGGTTAGCTTCCTAACCAGCAGGCTCCCCAAGTCACCTCTGCATGCCTTCAGAAATGTCATTTACATTCTCTGCCTTCTTTGCCAGGAAACATCCAGTGGTCCCTCATTGCTTAAAGCAGCAGCATCAAACATTTTAAAACTTAGGACCTCTTTTCTGTCTTAGAAATTATTGAAGACCTCAAAGAGCGCTGGTTTCCATGCTATAATAATTCATGTCCTTTTCCCCTAAAGTGTCATGTATTCCAACCTTTGAAGGATCTATGTTTCTACACAACAGGATGGTGGATGTTGGTGGCCAACGATCGGAAAGACGGAAATGGATTCACTGCTTTGAGAGTGTCACCTCCATTATTTTCTTGGTTGCTCTGAGCGAATATGACCAGGTCCTGGCTGAGTGTGACAATGAGGTACGCTAGGCGGGAAGTTTGGGTAGCTGTGGAAGCCAGAGCCCTATTCTGTGGTTTCTAAGAAGGCAACCAGGTCAGGAAATAGACCCTCGTCATTAGGTTCAACAGTCTTGCTACTCAAAGTGTAACCTGTGGACCAGTGGCGCAGGCATCACTGGGATGGCTTGTTAGAAATGCAATCTTACTGAATCAACCCCAACCAACGACATCAGAATCTACATTTTCACAAGACCCCAGCTAATTCAAATACGTATGAAAGGCTGAGAATCATGGGCCTGGAACCCGGGTTCTAAACTTGAATGCACACTGGAGTTCGCTGAGGGACTTAATGAAAACCTGGTGCCTGAGTCCAACCCCAGAGATTCTGATTGAATTGGTGGTGAAGGGGGCCTGAGTGGGGGGAATTTTAAAAAGCACCCCAGGTGAATCCACTGTGCTGTGAAGGTTGGAACCTATTCAAAAGCCTAGGTTCTCATCCTTGGTGGCATAGTGGAATCTCTTGGCAAGCGTTTTACAAATGCCATCTCTTGGACCGAACACTAAAATTTCGTATTTACTGAGTTTAGGTTGAGGCTTCTTTCGAGAGTCCACTAGGGATTCTGCTGCACCGCCAATGCTGAGCAGCACTATCTCTAAAACACTTTACCTGGGCACAGGCTTCCTAACTTCCATAGGCCCATGGTGCTCCCGAATTAGATCCCTAGTGGAACTGGGGTGGGCAGTGGTGCTGGATGCTTGGAGCTGTTCTGGGGCTGCCTGGGATTGCATCTGCCTTCACATCTCCTGGGAGGGACTCCCTCAGGGCAGCTGGGATGGATCCAGCCTGGTGAGGCACGCATTGTCCCCTCAGAGTGGCCATAGCACTGGCTGTGTCCGATTCCATCAGTGGGAGCTGCCCTGAGAGTGAAGAGGACCCTCAGACCCTCACAGCCACCTCTCTGTCAGGTTGGGGACAGTTGCGGTGGAACACTCATGTCCTCCTTATCATCTTTTCCCCTGAACTTGCACTAAGACCTCTTGACCTTTTAGAAAAATGTCTTTTGTTTCCAAGGCATGAAAGTAAATCAATAAAGGACTCAGTCCAGGATTAGGCAATAACTGAACAAATTGTATCTTGTATTTCTTGAGAGCAGACTTTTCTCTGAGGAGCACAGCTTATATTACCTAATTAGTGGAGGATTAACCCATTTAATTGTGTCATTGTGCAAAGAACAGAAATCTTGGCTGCCGCCCAGCTCTCTCAATTGGAGATTTTTTGTTGTTGTTGTTAAGACATTCAGTTATCAATATAAAAAAAATGGCTCCAAATTTGTTTCAGGAATTATTTGTGACATTCCTCAGGAAACTCAAAAGATTAGTAAGGTGCACAAGGGACCAGTATCTCAGCCCAAAGTGCTTAGAAATTAACACTTTCTCCTCTCTTAAAAATCACAAAATATTTGGAGAAAAATTAAGTGGTTGCCACTCCAGACTTTCCTCTCCTGGTTGTAGATCTATATTATATACACTCTGTATACTGTCTGGGAATTTTTCATATACTTTATTTCCTTGGAGATCATTATCGATAAGATCATAATAAATTTTAAAGCTTTAATACATTCCAGATCGTAATTCCGCCAAAGTGTACGGAGTGGCAGAAGGAGCCTGGGTGTCTGGAAGTTGTGGGGAAAGAGTGATTGATGGCGTGGCCCTGTTGAGTGTGTGCTGAGCTTGGATGTTTTTCACTCTGATCCCTTCCTTCCCTACAGGGAAGTTCTTATTTCTTTCCTCTTAGAAATACTTGAGAAAGAACGGAATGCTGTCTAGAACAATTATTGTCCTAGAACAATTATTGTCACAGATAAGATTTGTTTGTGCCCTGTCTGCTCTCAGTAAATTAGGAGCATTTAGTATCTTCTTGCCAATGTCTGACATTTAGAAATTATCACTGTCTTTCTACGTAACCTTCCCCAGGTCCCACTATGACAGGGGCTCGGGAAAGTTATTTAAATATTCCAGATAAGGCCGGGCATGGTGGCTCACGCCTGTAATCTCAGCATTTTGGGAGGCCGAGGCAGGCAGATCACGAGGTCAGGAGATTGAGACCATCCTGGCTAACACAGTGAAACGCTGTCACTACTAAAAATACAAAAAATTAGCCGGGCGTGGTGGTACACACCTGTTGTCCCAGCTACTCGGGAGGCTGAGGCAGGAGAATCGCTTGAACCCAGGAGCTGGGGGTTGCAGTGAGCCGAGATCGTGCCACTGCACTCTAGCCTGGGCAACAGAGTGAGACTCCATCTCAAAAAAACAAAAAACAAAAAACAAAAAAAGACGTTCTGAACAACAGTATGCTCACCCATCAAACGGGCCACTGCTCTGCTTATAAAGTGTGGCACAGGGTGGGTTCACAGTAGTACTGCCTCCCGTCTCTGCCAATGTCTAGCATTCCTGGGGCAGTGGCCTTGCTGGAAGAGCTTTGTCATTTGACTGCTGAGGCCCAGTCTGGAAGCCCATAACCAACTGAGGTGGCCGTGTCAGGTCTGAAGTTGGCACTTCCCTACTTGGTAATCCCAATGATCACATGACACAGGAAATTTGTCAAATGTGGGTAGGAACCTTCCTTCTCCAAGTTGCACCAAAGCCTTTCTTATTTCCTCCCTGTGAGTTTTGGGCTGGAGAAGAGCTGCGATGCAACAGGAGAGGCGACCCAGAAGGGGAAGGTTGGTAAGAGGCTTGGGGAGGGGCAAACAGAAGTAGGAGGCCTGTTGCCTTGGGCTCCACATGCTCACCAGCTTCAGCAGACAGTGGTCCAGAGACTGCGACAGGGCAAGGGAAGAGATGGATGGACTGGCAATGTGCCATGTTGTTTCCAAAATATTTCCTTTCTACTTCATCCCAAGTCCCTTGTTCTTCACTTAGAACCGCATGGAAGAGAGCAAAGCCTTATTTAAAACCATCATCACCTACCCCTGGTTTCTGAATTCGTCTGTGATTTTATTCTTGAACAAGAAGGATCTTTTGGAAGAGAAAATCATGTACTCTCATCTAATTAGCTATTTCCCAGAATACACAGGTAAGTGTCTATCTTGTGGACGGTATTTCTGTGTTGATCTTGTCTACCTCCTGGGCATCAGTCTGGAGTTACCACAGCAAAAAGGGTCTCCCTGGTCTGCCTAGAACACCCTCTCTCCCTATTCCCACCTTCAAACAGAAGCTCTAGTTGCACCATTATGTGTTTTCACCGAAGCACCTCCACACACGCTTCCCTCCGTGCTGGGAATATCCTTGCCAACTCCTTTCACTTCCTCCACGTTGTTCTCCAAAACCCAGCAAAGGCCTCCCCTTCTCTGGGAGCATTTCTGGCCTCCCCTGCCCATCCGGTCTGCAGTAGGGGTGCCTCCTCCTTTCTGCTCCCTTGGCAGCCTGATCCCCGCTTGCTCTCTTGGCCACATCACGCTATGTCGTATCCTCTGCTCACTCAGCTTTCTTCCCAGTTGGCTCCGTGAGGGCAGAGATCTGCTTGATTTATCTGTGCATTCCTCGTGCCAGTTGGAGTACCTGGTGCTTCTTATGTGTATGTTAGACTGTGGCATCCCTTTTCCCAGACACGTGGCAGACTCTGAAGCTCTTTGTACATAACATGTCCAAGGTAGGAGAGTCTCATGCCCTGTTGCTAATTGTTTCTGGTACAGGAGATCTCAAACATTCAGTTTGACACTGATATTTAGTGGATTCAGGTTTCAGCTCTCTTCTTTCCCCTTTTACTAACCATACTGGCTGTGCAGTATAGCACCCTCGAGCTTTAAAATCAGCCTGATAATGTTAGTTCCCACATTCTTCCTTTTATCTCTCCTAGACCAGAGCTGTCTGTCCATATGTGTTAGCAAGGATTACTTCTCTTCAAAAGTGGTCCAAATCAGACAAACTGGGTCACTATGTTTAAACAAATCGCCATAAAGTACAATTTTTAGATACCAGAGGACATTTTAAAATATGACTATTTTATGGGTTCATGATGAGATACCATAAAAATAATGCTGCAGGTAAACTGTTCCCTAGAAATAAAGATCAAAGCAGGATCTCAAATAAGAACAAGAGTACATTAAAAAATGGTTCTTGGGGCCAGGCACAGTGGCTTACGCCTGTAATCCCAGCACTTTGGGAGGCCAAGGTGGGTGGATCACCTGAGGTCAGGAGTTCAAGACCAGTGTGGCCAACATGGTAAAACCCCGTCTCTACTAAAAATACAAAATCGCTGCACGTAGTGGCACGCATCTGTAATCCCAGCTACTTGGGAGGCTGAGGAAGGAGAATTGCTTGAACCCCAAAAGTGGAGGTTGCAGTGAGCTGAGATTGCCCCACTGTACTCCAACCTGGGCTACAGAGCAAGACTCTGTCTCAAAAAACAAACAAACAAACAAAAATGGTTCTTGGGAGGACATGGTGTTAAGTCTGTGTCTTTATTCCCCTAATTGCACTTGTGACTAGGACCAAAGCAGGATGTCAAAGCTGCCAGAGACTTTATCCTGAAGCTTTACCAAGATCAGAATCCTGACAAAGAGAAAGTCATCTACTCTCACTTCACGTGTGCTACAGATACAGACAACATTCGCTTTGTGTTTGCTGCTGTCAAAGACACAATTCTACAGCTAAACCTAAGGGAATTCAACCTTGTTTAAAAGCTGCTGCCCACTCCTCCCCCATAACAGAAGATGTGATTTGCAAACTCCTTGTTTTATTTGCAAGTGCTTCTGACATCTCCAGAGCCAGCCCCGTGCCAGGCACTAAGGACGCCATGCAGATCGTGGAGACAGAGATGGGTGATGGAACTTGGAAGACATTTGAGTTTACCAAAATACTTTAAAAGTCTTTGCATCCCAAATTGTTTTAATAATTATTTTCTTGACTTTTGGCTGTAAGATTTTGTGTAATTTTTGAATTTGGTGTTTTCTAGAATTTTTAAAGGCCACTTTGATTTAGTTTTAAATTTCAAATATGTTTAAAAATAGCAATTAAAATTATGTAAGCAAGGAGCCTGTTTATAGATCATGCCTTGAAACCTCTAGAACTAATTTGGGTGACTTTTTAAAAAATGCTAATGAGTCTGAAGCTTTTCATTAAATCTTGTAATTTAGAGACATTTTTAATTTTCACCTCATGCTGCTGAAGGCTGACTCCTTTAACTTGCCACCAAAGATTTTTTTTTTTGAACACTTAGTTCTTTTTGTGTGTTAATTTTCTAAGCCAAATTAATAGATATACAAGTATATGTAACTTAGCTTTGCCACAATTTGATCACCATGAAGCCAAAGCTGGCATAGAGTAATGGGCTCTAGATAGCATGTATGTTGTATTGGTGAAAAATGTGTGTGTGTGTATATATACATTTTTATCCCCAATGTATAGTATATGACTAGGTCTTGTAAACGTATGAAATGGCTAAAAGCCCACACTGTTTGACAAATGTTATGTAACCCTGCCAAAGTTCTGATGGCCACCACAGATTTGCTGTTTGAATTATGTATGCTGTGCCTTTCTGAGGAGGCTAAGAATATACCATTCTGCTATTATCATTGGGTTATGTTGTGTTTCTTAGAGCTCATGGTTGACTGATGGTTCTGCTCCTAAACAGGAAAATGCTGTGGCCTTAATAGTAACTCGGAAACTTTCTTAAGGTTCCTCCTTTCAAGGCAAGTCTGTACGCATCACCGTGGCATGCTGCAGTTCCCTCAGTAGCTGGCTGGGTCAAGCAGAAGGAGAATCCTCTGGAAAGTAAGAGTGCTCCACACTAAAGGCCCAAGATGGTTTTGTGCATGTGTGCACACACACACCATTTGGGGATATAAGGTATGAAGTGTCTATCTCAAATCAGTCTATAAAATGCACCTCGGTTGGCTAACATACTTTATGGAACCATGCGTCCCCATTCTGTGGGAACAATTCCAAGTGCTGAAAAAGACAAATTATTCTGATATGTAGCGATTCTACAATAGCAACATCTAACTTTAAAAAAATGAATCCTTACTCAAGAGATCAATGCAATAACAACAACTTTTGTGGAAGTTCACAGATTGATGTTAAAATTTATCTAGAACAGTAAAGGTCCAGAAATAGCCGAGACAATTTTGCACGAGAACAGAGAGAGGGGAGTGGAGCTCTTTAGGATATCTAGAAGCACAAACAAAATACAAGACAATCCCCCTCCCCACCCATGATGGGCTAGAGGCTATGGACTGGGTTTCACTAGCCAATTAACATAAAAAGGGTTCAACAGAATCCAGTAATCGGGGAAATTAAACAATGAAGAATTCCATTTCTTATTTCAAGCACTTTCTAGCATTGAGTTTTTGTTAATTTATAGTTGGCTGACCACTTAAAGCATACAAGAAAATGATGGCTTTCCATATTCTAGTTGTAGGAGGGCTGTTAAATAAGTCATTCAAAGGGTGGTAACAATATTTTCTTAAGGCGTGGAAAGGCTAGACTCAATATCAGAGGTGAATTACCTCTGCCAATGTTGATTCTGCCAGTAGAAAATTCTCTCCTGGCCCTTCATTCAATATACTCATTACTTACTGGGGAAATGAGTCATGCGGAGTTTTCTAAGGTTAAGAGGCAGAATGTCGGTGGTTAAGAATTCACTAGGTTGAGACCATCATGGCCAACACGGTGAAACCCCATCTCTACTAAAACTAAAAAATACAAAAATTAGCTGGGTGTGGTGGTGCGCACCTGTAGTCCCAGCGACTCAGGAGGCTGAGGCAGGAAAATCGCTTGAACCTGGGAGATGGAGGTTGCAGTGAGCCAAGATTGTGCCACTGCACTCCAGCCTGGTGACAGAGCAAGACTCTGTCTAAAAAAAAAAAAAAAAAAGATTTCACTAGGTACTATACCATACCACCCCCAAGCTTTTAGTCAGCAATGATCATGCAGGGCTGGAATGTCGCCTGCTTTGACTGAAAAATCAGGACCTTGGACAATCTGTTATTCACATTTATCTAAGCCCCAAAGAGGGTGGAATTTATATAGGCAAGGGTAAGCTATTGATAATGTTTCCAGTTCTATCAAAAAACTAAAAACAGAAGCAGACCAAAGATCAGAAATCTTTATTTGACAAAGGTATACATGGTGAAAATGGACAGTCATCTTACCATGCAATCCAAATCTACCAATACCAAGAAATGATTATTGTTAAGAAAGTCATTAGTGAGCATGGCCAACCAATTTTTAGAGAGAGGAATAAAAGAATAAGATTAGTTTCAAAAGGAAGAACTTCACTGTAAACATCTGTGTTTATAAATTATCTTAGAATACACAAAACCAAGGCAGAGACTGTGTAACAGGCAACTGAGCCAAGCACACATAAAAGAGGAATGAGGAACAGAAAAGTGTAGGAAATCCTGCAGCGATGCAGAAATAGATATTTTTAAAACTATCATAATCAATGACCATATTTTCATCAAAGAATAAACATTCCAAAGCAGCACAGGCTATTTGATCAATTTAAAAAACTAGCAAGAGAATATTTTTAAAGTGCACCTTTCCTGAAAAAATCATTTTTATATGTAATACACAGTCATATACAGAGATAATTATTTTTAAAAGTCTCTAACAATCTATCTGACCTTGTAACAAGTCCCAGATACCATTCCTAATAGTTTGTGAGTGTGGCTATTAAATCATCGATAATTTTACTTGAATGTTTTTCAGCCCGAGAATTGGGAACTTTTGAGTAATGAACTGAACACCGGAGGTACGATGGCATAACAGGAAATGCTGGGATTTTCCAACATGTTCTACTTTAATTATACTTCTGATGATTAGATATCATTATACCAATCTCACAGGGTTTCTTGTTACAAGGGCTTCATTAGAAGGAGCACATTCTTGAGGTATCAGAGTAACACTAAATGAATAGTTCAATGACTGACAGGGATTTTCTATCATAACAGTGTGATATCTATCATCATAGCAGGTGTTAAACTATAATTTGTATTTGTATAAAGTAATAAAAACTTTAAAAAATACCCATATCAGCCTAAAAAAATTGAAGTTATATTTCTTGTATAGCTTTTTGGGTAACCAAAAATTTTTTTTTTTAATGCCATAATGCTCTAAAAAAAGAACTCATCTGTAATTCTAAAGTAAAAAATTTTTTAAACGACGTGGAAAAATTTACTTTACAAAAGAGGAAATATAAAGTAGAAAAAGGTTTCAATCAAAGAAACATGAGTAAGGTGTGTAATAGAGTAGGATTCTGTATCTTCTCAATGTGCCGGCTTTGCTTTTTGGATAGTCCTGAAACAAATACTACTTTAGACCAATTGTGACAGTGGAGAAAAGTTTGCTCTAACAGTCGGAGTGGCCAAAAATGGACAGTACAGATGACAAGAATCGCAATTTTAACGGACGAATCCTAGCTTGATTAGGTTGCCATTAATGATAAGGGATAACTTCGAAAGGATATTTCAAAGGACTAAGCAGGAGAGTGAATGGGGTTCCTTTTAGAGTTGCGCTATACTGAATAGCACCAAAGAAAATCAGATTGACTAAGTCTGTATTGAGTCCTGCATATGGAATGTGAGTTATTTACCTTTTCTACTTGGATCTTAAAGCAATGGGGAAACCCACTGTTTTTGGTAAAAAGGCATTGATATTTGCATAGTGAATATTTTGGCCCTACCAGAATGTGCCCTACATATTAGCTCCCCATTTTTAAAGGCCTTTGCCACCTGTATGGTCAATCAGCCAAAAGGAAGATGGTGCAAATTCAACGGACTCCAAAGGACAATGTCTGTCCCCAGTTCTATGATAGTAAAATGCTTAGTGGTAAAGAGGTTAAAGTACATCTAGGTAAACAAAAGACTGCTGTGGCCTTTTGTGGGTGCTGTTTGTGGATCTGATTTTTCTCTGCTTTTTCTGGTTCCACTGGATCATACGAGGTGCCTGATACACAGCAGAGAAGAAAAATGTTTCAGAAACCAAACAAGAGTGATTCCACCTTCTCACTCAAAAGAGAAAGTGCTGAGCCTCTCTAGACTTCCTGAGCTGTGGATCTGCTGCTCCTTATCTAAGGTCAGGCTCCACACAATCCAGACTCTTCCAACAGTCACTGGATGGCCCATGCCGCCTGCAGAGTCTTTCAAGCTTTCTTTTTTTCAATTGCATTTCATAATAGGAAACACTTTATCTTGTGACCCCGTATACACAGTAAATAGAAGATTTCGCTGAAACAGGAACCGATACTTAACCATTTTACATGCTCTATTGTTCCTCTATTTTTTATTTCACTTTTAAAATATACTGGTCTTGAGCTGTTGAGTTGATTTCATGACCCACTAATGAGTTAGGACTTAGTGTGGAAAAACAGCATCCCTGAGGATTTGGGTTGATCCTGACAAAAGGTAACAAGCAATAGCCCTGGAACCCGAAAAGATTTCTCTGATCTGTGTTGGCTGAGCCACCAAAGCATCCACTGTCAATGTATTTGGCACATACTTTGAGCTTCTACAGGCAAACTAATCAAGTATATTGTACCAATCTTTTTAATACAGGGGCCTACGTGAAGGGGCACTTGACATAGCCTGAGGGATCAACGAATACTGGCAAGTGATAACTGGGTAATTTAGGTGCAGGAAATTCAGCACTGTGTAGAGTCCTTTTAATTTAATCTTACTTTTTACCAGACAGTAATACGATGCTACTGTGTGGGATGTTTCTATGAGATGAGCTAGGTGCATAGATATTCACTGGAACAATATTACTGCTATTACCATCAGAAGAAATGAGAGAGAGAATTATTATAGAAAAGATCATGTAAGTCTAAGAAAGACTGATTCATTTGGAGGCCACAGGATAGTTGCCTCCAAATGGATTAGGATTGTGGAGGAGAGGGGTAGGTAAGAACTGCCTACAGGTGGTAATGATTATTTAGAGTCCAGATAACAACTCAGCCACACTAAACTGACCTTGGGATTTTTGCAAACAGTAGAGGAAAAGCAGCAAATATATACACTCTACAAGGGAAGACACTGGAGAAGTGTACGTGCTTTTTGGCTCAGAGAATATTTTCTAAATGTGAAGAAATCAAAGTCGCTCTTTCCAATGACTTATGATTTTCTGGTGGAGAGTTGGCAGGGAACTCTGTCTTGGTCCTCACATAATTATCATAGACCAGAAGACATGCTATGCTGGAATTAAGGGCCTAGTAATAGAGATAGCAAATAATACATGGAAGGGGCACAAGACTGAACACCTCATTCCATAGCCACCACCAAACAACTTAAGACAAGCTTAAATTTCTCCAGCAGAGAGCCATTTATTGTAGTTAAATGTAATTTAGGGCAGATGGTTTTCAAATACAAGACGATTGTATATTCTAACCTTCAAGAAAAATGGGCTATAGAATCAAACAAAAACTAAATTGTAAAATGTGATGCTAAAAACACTGACTCGTTATCTAGTGATCTACTGATGTTCTTAGTGTTTTTGTTTAGATGAAGACAAGCTTCTAAAACAAATGATACGATGTAGCTCTTGAAAGTGTGGGTCCCTCTAGAGACAAGGAAGC